ATCTAAATGCAAAGATTATCCGGGTTACCTGAGTTCTACGGTCAGAATTCAGGGAGCCTGAATACTAAGTTTGAAGCCAAAATGAGTAAAAATTTCTCTTCTCTTTCAGATACACAGGGAATACACCTATTACTGCTTTATTGATTGTTTCTCCTGTAATTTCACAAACTTTTCATCCATGCACTTTAAACTCACTTTACTACTACATTATAATATTTTTAAATGTTAGCTTAAATGTTAACTTCTGCATCTTTTGAAAAGGATCTTACCAACTAAGAAACACCACAAAAAAAGTTTCTATCAAAATTTCAAGTAATTACACAAAGCAGATATTGGAAACAACTGGTAAAACCGAAAAAAGAAATGCCAGTGAATGGGAACCATATGCAGAAATGCCACACAAAGTTGCAAAATGATGCACCGAGAACTGGGTGTAGCACGTGCAGCACATACAGTTTAATGGCCCCAGTACTGGAAACACAAGCTTTTAAGAAGGATTATCTCTTTGAATAATGGAACATTTCTAGCCATACATTTCCTTAGCAGATTTATAAATATCCTTCACATACTGGGAGAATTTCATAAGAAATTCACTTAACTTTTTCATGTCTCCACTAGAATCATTCAGTCCCCTTTAAAATACTTCCAAGAACAACTTACTACATAGATACAGATAAGAATATCAGAACAGAATATCCCTTGCTGAGTAATACAAAATGCAAGCCAGTTAGCATCATATATATAATAGAATGAATAACATATGAAGCAAATATTTCAGAGTTGAGGAATCTGGCCAGATAGTACAGAGATTTCATCTTTCAGACCTTTTTCCTTCTTTCTGTCCTTCCTTCCCATCCATCCATCTGTTCATACAGACTTGACCTTGTTCCAGAAAAAAATTTAACATGGTTTTCTAAGAATGTACAAAAATGCAAAATAAATCAAAATGAAAATAGATTTAGCTTTTTGAAAGTATGCATGTGTGGAAATTCATATTTTATAGGAAATAAATTGGACAGGCATAGTCTAGTATGTTAACAGTGATGTTATTACAGATAAATTTTTATTTTCCGGGCTTAAATTTATGTTTTTTCTTTCAAATTGTGAATAGATTAAGAATTAGAATACATTAGATTTAGACCTTAAAAACGTACATGTTTTAAACAGGTAAAAACATGAGGGGAAGAAAACAATGGAAAATGAAAGACAGAACAGAAATAAGATGCGTAAGTAGACAAAACAGAAGCCATGAAATATAGACAGATCACCAACAGTGGTTCTACATTTGCTCATGATTCTGGGAAACAATCAACCTTGAGTTCCACAGTCAGTTAGATGAATGAGCTGGATATGGCTGACCCAGGAGCCAATGGTCTTTGCCAGTATTTCCCAAGTGACTGGATTCTGAGATGTTAGTATTCCACAGAAAACAAAAAGTGAAGGGGGATGTTCTGTGAATAAATGAGTTAGGAAATGATGAATCTCTATTCATATCTTGGTAACTCACAAGGTACATTAACATAATTAGAGTTTTGAGATATAATGGAGTAAAGAAATATGCATCAATTGGCTTAACCAAGTGTTTCTCAAAGAGATTTGCATTGTGGAACCCTTTTTCTACTGCTAAACATTGTTTGGGAAACTCCCACACTACACTGTTCAATATCAACCTTTAAAGCCTAAGGGGAGGTACCACTGGAGCAAAAATACAATAGAAAGCCAAACATTACTTCGGACACTTGGTCACCATAATGGAAGCTAAGTGAGCCTGAAGTTACACAGATCATTTAATTAAATATATTCTATTAGGAGTTTGAAGCCCAATCTTTCTGTGGTGGAAATGAACCAACGGGGGCTTTGTCCCTAGGCACACCTGAAAGACAACCCAGTAAGAGGCAGCAAGCACTGAATTCACACCTCGGCTCCAAATACCAATCACTCTGCTTCATTTCCCCAGCTAGCCCAAATGTGGCCAACGGCATCTCTGAAAGGCAAGCAACTAGGTTTAGAGCTTGGAGTCAGAAGTCAAAATAGCACATCATGGGAACAGCTAATTTTACCCTTGGCATTATCCCCAGACTCCCTGCTTCTCAGGAAGAGAGCCTACACATGCAGTCTCAAGTTGCTTGGCAGGGCAGGGCTAGTAGAGACAGAGGACAGATCTATGCTGGACTCTTCCTATGTGAACAGCATTTATTCAAGACTTCATCTCCCAAGGATGATAGCAGGTAGAAAGGAAAGGGGAGGAAGTTAGCAAAAATGAAATCAAATGTAATCTCAGACCCATGCTCAGAAGAATCTAATTTACTTTAAGTATCTAAATAGATCTTAACCTGGTAGGAGAACACATTTGAAATGACATTCATTGTCTTTTCAATTGTTCCATATTTATATCTTGAGTCATATTCAGGCTTCGTGGATGTGTATGGTCAAAAAACTATATTTTGGATTGGGACATGTCATAACTAATGACTAAAGGATGTCAGGTTTTCTATTTAAAAAAAATTTTTTTTTACATTTATTTATTTTTGAGAGAGAGGGTGAGCTAGTGCACAAGTGGGGGAGGGGCAGAGAGAGAATGAGACGCAGAATCTGAAACAGGATCCAGGCTCTGAGCTGTCAGCACAGAGCCTGATGCGGGGCTTGAACTCCCAAACCGTGACATCATGACCTGAGCAGAAGTCAGATACTTATCCAACTGAGGCGCCCCTGATTTTCTATTTTCATATGAAATCACCCAAAATAATTTTGGGAATTCAAATAGCTACAGTGGTAAATAATGTTAAAAGAGATGCTTCACTACTAATCCGCAATGAGTAAAGGCTATGATGAGAATATAAGCAGTGGTTTATTTATTTTTATCTATTCCTCCACTCAAATTCTTCCCAAAGAAGTTGCAATTTGCATTCTCCAACAAAGCACTGCCAGTGCCACTGGTCAGAACAGAAAGGACATACAAAAGGTTTGCCTTATCCAAATACCAAATACTAAACGAGCCCCACTTATGTGATTCACTAAGTCTCATGCATTCACTTGCTCTATTACAAGATCCATGAGTTTAAATAAAACATACTTATAAAAACTGTTCCTGAAATACAAAGTCAGAGTATAATAGTTTCCTTAAATTATGAAGCTAATTGATTTTTTTTAATGGACCATTCACTGGTTCCTTGACCCTAAAAGATTTTTATTCTAGGCCTCCTGCACATTGTAAATTCATTATGACCAACCTAGTTCCCAGAAGCATTGCATCATTAGAGGTACAGAGATGGAGATTAAAAGCAAAACTGAAAGTGAACTGTGCCTTAGGCAAATTAATAATACAAGTGAAACCATTATGTAAAAATCATTGTTTGGCTGTAAAAATTTGACTATGCATAATAACAAGTATCTTGGAAAATGGTGATAGAATTCTGCATTGAAACACAGTAACCATCTTAAAGTGGAAGACAAGAATATTTCAAATAAGAACAATGGTACAGGATACATGAAGCTATCCCCTATAGTTGGCATCAAAATAGAAGAGAGGTATAATGTTTCTATTGCTCAGATTGTTCTCTAACAAATCACATATTTGCCTGTGGATAAATCTGAGTACATACATTTAGTTGGTATACGCTCTCTTCCTTTAGGGACAAGAAAGACTTTTAGAATAGAAGTTTATAGTACTGAGCAGTTGAGCACCATATTATATACACTAAGGAATATTGTGTGCCTTGGCCTGACAACAGTGAGCCTATTAATAAGTTTGGGGATCCCAAAATTGAAAAGGATCAAAGAGTCCTAGAAATTAAGAAAATGGAAGGGTTTAAAACAAAATTGGAGAAGTACCAGAAGAAAGAATCTAGACTTGCATCATAAATTAAAAGTCCATACTTTTCCCCCCTTGTATATTTAATGTTCTGAAAAGCTACAAACAGAGAATCAGAGTAACTATGTTAGCCCCAAACCTCAGATATAGGAGAAAGATGACTGGAAAAATATCCAAACATTAATCTCTTATAAAGAAAACCATCATAGATTATTCTTTCTAGTTCTTTCATTCATTAAGCATGAGATTGAAAGTACCCTGACTCTAGAACTGTTAGCAAGAATCTGGAATTGAAGGTGCTGGACTCTAATCTTAGTTATGGACAATATTTAGTCTTTCAGCCTTGAGCCAGGCACCAAAAACTGCCTCGTACCCCAGATTATTCAGAGTACAACAGGCATATTATCTCTTGCTGCGGCACCTCTGAAAATGTGAAGTGATGATACAGAGGGGGCTCCTTATGAGTCTGCAAACTCTAATGACAAAAATGTGAGGTGGCTTTCTCATCCTTGGGGAATGACAACAAGAGAAATTCTAATCACTTATCAAAATGGGTTTCAATATCTGTTAAGGTAACTTTTCATTCATTTTACTGGTTTTCGGGTTCTTATGGAATGTCTCAACAAGAGATAACAGTCAAATTTAAGTGGAAAATTTCACAAAATATGATAGGAAAATAGAAAGAAAGAAACAAACGTCTCATTTGAGAGAAAAACAACATAACCCAAAAGCAACAGTCTCTTCAATTGTTGTTATAAATCAAAATATTTTAAATGAGATATCAAAATTCAAAGTTTTATTCCCAGAGAAATAGTCTTAAAAATTATTATAAAATACTATAAACTCATAAATGAATGAAACAGAATTGTAAATATTTCTTTGTGATTTTAAAAGTGATTATAAGTTCAGTCTTAATGTTTATTTAATTATGTTATTATGCTATTAATGTTATTTAATCTATCTAAACTATCTCCTAGGCAAAGATCTTAATTAAAACCATTTAAACTCACTTTAATGCCTCAAATAAACACATGATTTTTTTCTTTGAATCTTTCTTTACATTGTATTTATTCCACAGAAACACTAAAAACCATTGGAGTACAAATTCTTCATATTAGATAAAAGAAAAAAGAGTGGAAAAGAAAAAAAGCTCTATCTGACGAGGGTTAATCAAATGACTGAAGTCTACCTCTCCTGCTCCTGCTTCATTCGTATCCTCTCCTCTTCTGATGTAAGGGAGTCCTGTATTTTTATTTTACCCGTTTTCTCAATCTTGTCATCTTTTCGATGTTTGCCAAACCTGTTGATAACAAAAAATTCTAACTTGTCAATATATACAAAATGAGTTTTCATTCTTTTGTGACAAAGACATATGTACTCAATGAAATGTGAGCTTCCTCAAAACGAGGGCCAAAAGGTCACCTGCAAATCATGATTTTTGCCCAATATTAATATTTTCAATCAATTTATTGGAATTACTTTTAATCAGAACTTTCCAGAGACAACCCTTTTGAAAATGGCCTCAATACCCATTTTTCTTTTGGCAAAACACAAATAAACAACTTCATAGTTCATCCTTATTGAACAAACAATAAATGTATAGGACTGAGTGCTGAATACTTCAAATGATAGAGGCCAAAAATCTGCATTAGAATGGGTTTCTCTTAAGACTAAAGAATGGTAATCCACAATCATCTATTTAATAATCTCTCCATAAACAACTATTCTTTACTTTCATAGTTAGGTTTATTGGAAACATTCATCATAGTTTTTTTTTTTTTTTAATTTTTTTTTTCAACGTTTTTATTTATTTTTGGGACAGATAGAGACAGAGCATGAACGGGGGAGGAGCAGAGAGAGAGGGAGACACAGAATCGGAAACAGGCTCCAGGCTCCGAGCCATCAGCCCAGAGCCCGACGCGGGGCTCGAACTCGCGGACCGCGAGATCGTGACCTGGCTGAAGTCGGACGCTTAACCGACTGCGCCACCCAGGCGCCCCCATTCATCATAGTTTAAAAACAGACAAACAAGGCCATGTTCACAAGGCTTAAAGTACAAAGGATAATTTACACTGCTATAACACTTTGAGCTTATTAAATTGAAAGCTTTAAGGCATTCTCATCAAATACTATTCTGAAATCTGATGAGAAGCAATTGGTGAATGTGGAATCTATATCTGATCAAAAACAAACATGAGGAACATACACATGATTGAAAACCAGTCCACATAAACTTTCACAGATGGCCGCTGAGCTGGGCAGCTCTGTGAAAACACAAATACCCTCTCTGGCATCCAACGTATCTCAGAAGCCTAGACTTGCTATCAATTCTTTGTCCTGTTCTGTTCCTTTTCTCTATAAAAGACCATGTTGTCTTAACACGTGCTCATACATGTACTACCTACCCTCAAATAATACTCATCTTAGTGATTTGGTCACCAGATATTTCAAAAAAGAAACCTTTTATAGATAGTTCTTCAACTAAGCAGTCATAAATATATAAAATATGTTATTTATTTCTGAAGACAAAGTAGGAATCTGGCTTATGCTGATAATCATATCAAAAAGGAGAAGAGTTAAAAAAAAGGGTAGTTGAAAACTGATATAAAAGAGAAAAAAGCACTTCAACTAATGGCTTGGTTTGTAGCATAGGTCTTTCTTTTATTAATATAAATCTAATTTCAAATACGAATTTACAGTATATGGGAATGTACATGTGTACACAGGAACATCTCATACATTAAATAGTAACACTGTTTGCAAAGGGGTTTATAAATAAGAAAGGGACATGGGGCGCCTGTGTGGCTCAGTCAGTTGAGCCTCTGACTCTTGATTTCAGCTTAGGTCATGGTCCAAGAGTCTTGGGATCAAGCCCACGTGGGGCTCTGCACTCAGCGTGGAGCCTGCTTAGG